TCTAAAATTCAATATACTTTATTCAGTCTAGGTTGTTACAAGCACTTGTGAATGTCGAAAAGTTACGCCATCGGTTCGCAAATCTACGGCGGGAGACCTTGTACTGAGAAGAACCGGCAAGAAACTCAGCAAGGGCTGATTTTTTCTCTCTGTTTTATTTCATACAGTGTCGTCCAATTGAAAGTTGACATCAAACTTGCAAACATGTGTTGAGGTCAACTTCCATCACATAATGTCAAATATGTAACAATAGACAATCAACGAATTTACTAACAATAAGTGCAAAGAAAAGTCCCAAAATAGCAAGAAACAATTTTCAAAGCAAAATGAACAAGTATATGAAAGGTAAGTGCAAGGTTCTCTTCAAAAATCATTCTAAGGCTGGGAGCCTTAGTTTTAATATAACTTTTGAAAAATTATCTACAGGTAAAATTATAATGATATTCGCTTTTGACTTCGTATTTGTTATGGTGCCACGCAATACGTGTTCTGTGAGCCTGTCTGTCTGTCTGTCTTTTGTTCTGTATGAGGCGGATGGTAGCCAAAAAATTTGATTAAAGAAATTTGTTTTTTTTTTTAAAAACGTAAATATAAATGATACTTCTATAACAACGTACATGTACTTACTTATGGTGAACTTAAGTGTTATTCAGATTTTTTTAAAACGTCATTGGAATCATTGGAAATACACTGAACAAAGTCTAGGTACAGTAAGCCATACAAAAGTTACAACAAAATGTATTTTTTTTATCGATTATGAATCCTAATCGTAAACAAATAAAGCTCAAACCAATTGGAGAAATTTGACAGGTTTGACTTGAATAAAACTAGTTTTTTCGATTTTTTTTTATTTTTTTATAGATAGGTCCGACAAATGACTCCACCCCACCTGATGTTAAGTGATGGTGAAGTCCAGACGTGAAGATAGCTGGTACAGCAGTTCTACCTGCCACACCAGCCATCCTCACCCTGCCGGCCTGCATGTTACTTCTTCACGCCTCTTTTAAAGGAACCCAGATTGTAAAAAAGACGGTACACGTGAGCAGGCAGAGCATTCCATTTACGAATAGTGCGACAAAGAAATGAGTCACCAAATTTCTTTGTACGCGTTGGAATTGGAATTTAATGACGTTTCGCAGCCTTTTCAGGTCTGTATCGTCAGAATGAAAACTAGTTTTATTTAATGAGTGATGTGCGTGAAAACCTAAGAAAAAAATAGTTTTGACTTGACTATGTGACTGCCTGTACCTAGTATATTTCCAATGATTCAAATAGTATTACGTCGTAGATAAGATGAAAATTTTTGTTAGTAAGTTCAAGGTTATATTATGAGTATTATCTATATACGTGACTATAACTAATCTCTTAAATATTTCTACGTTTTAACCAACTAAAATATCGCTATATTTCAGTCTAAAAATAGGTACTCATTTCGCGAGCTCGATGGCGCATATGGTTAGCGCGTTCGTCTTGCGATCGTAACCAGAAACATAATTATTTATTCATCAGCTTCATTGGATTCATTTGTGAATTTATAAAAGATCACTCCTTCATACAGTCAGAAACTAAGTGCAAATCTTAAAACATACATAGGGTTCTCTCTCAGGGGCGGATCCAGCTTTGTCGCCTTTGGTCATATAGTCGTGGTCAAGTCACAGTAGGTACAGATTGTGAAATACAGAATGTGAAGTGGGTACAGATGGAACCAGGCACGGATTTCCCCCATGACCTCCCTCTCCTGGATCCGCCCTTGTTCTCTCACCAGGAAATTAGTGTTTTTTTGGTCTAAAAGAACATTGGTCGGTTATTCTTACCCGACCACCAGTAGGTTGGCAAAGGATCGTTGAACATCCTGCGCATACAGCCACCCTTTGTACTAAATACCGTTGTGATTTTGTAGCAGCCGGGGCATTTGACATTCATAAAATACGATTTTGGATGGGGCATCAGCCTCTTAAGTTTGTGTTTCTTCCTTTCCGAAGCGGGGGAAGGATGTAGAAAATCAATTGCGAGCGGCATGGTTACAGCTATAATGCAGACCTGGAAAAGGAATTATTTCGAGCTCTTCCGTGCTTCGGAAGTCACGTTAAGCAGCCGTTGATCCCAGCTGCATCTGCAGTCGTATAACTGCACTGGGCACGCGTGGTGGGTCAGGATCCGATCTCCCTCTTGAATCTGTTGGATAGGGAAGGCCTGTGCACCAGCAGCGGAGTCATTAATTGCCTGGTGGTGACGATGATACTTATTGAATCTGCAATTAAAGAGGTACTAACTAAATCTTAATACTAGATGATGGTAGAGTTTGTAAGTTTGTTTGTAGGAAGTGAATCTATGGAGCTACTGAACCAATTTTGAAAGGTACTGTCACCAGTAGAAACTCAATTGTCCCTGAGTGTTAAAACATTTTATCACGTTAAATAATTTTATTCTTATTGATATACTCGCTGGTTTGACATAGTACTTTGTTCGGAGAAATTAATCATCATCAGCCTATTAATGTCCCCACTGCTGGGGCGCAGGCCTTCCCTATGGATGGAATAGGGAGATTGGGCCATGACCCAACACGCGGACCCAGTGCGGATTGGCGGGTGCTAACAACCGCAGATGTAGCCGGGGCCAATGGCTTAACGTGCCTTCCGAAGCACGGAGGAACTCGTGATAGAAGAATTTTGGTCACCCATCCAATGACCGACCACTGCGAAAGTTGCTTAACTTCAACGATCGCAGCCAAACGCGCTAACCACCTGCGCCATCGGGGGAAAATACTAATAAATCTTTGTATAAGTATTTCATGTATGAAATAAGTAGGTAGTTACTAGGATGCCATTAAAAAGTTGTAGCTACTCTTGAGATTGGATAAAAGATAAACAGATTGAGTAAATAATTACACAATATATTGGAATAACAAAAGAATTAACGACAATATTACATAAGTTCGTATCAAAACATGATAGCGTTTATCAATCTTAAATATTGAGGTGACAATAATTCTATAAAAATAGTGGACAAATTGGAAAATATTTTTTTTATATGAATTAAATTATTATTCAAATGTTTACTCACTCACGTTTTTGAGCTTTTTCCAGTTACAATAAAGTAAATCTGTTTTAATTAAAATGGGTCAAAATAAATTAAATAAAACTTAAATAAAACTATAGAAACAGGTAACTGGGTATCTATTTAAGTGTAATGCAATGCAACGATTTTATCGATATTCGATCAATTTATAATCTTAAAGTTAAGGATTCCTTAAGAGATAGGTTTAAAGAATTTGGTATAATGACGGTCGCATCACAATACATTTACGAAAATTTATTACTTGTAAGAAAAAATATTAATTTGTTTCTTAAAAACAGTGATGTTCACACACTTAATACAAGAAACAAAAATAAACTAACTTTACCTGCTACTAGGCTTCACAAAATCAATAATTCATTTAAAGGTCTTTGTGTTCGCTTATACAATAAAGTCCCAAGCAATATCCAAGAGTTAAGCATAAATAAATTCAAAGATAGTAGAATTTCGACGCGGTCCGTGAGGGCCGCGGTAGCATAATTGGTCAGTGCATTCGCCCGGATTGCGAAGGGTGCGGGTTCAAGTCCCGTCTGCTGCCTGGTCCACGTGGAAATTTTTTCTAGTTATATTTTCTTTAGATTTAAACATCAAGCGGTTACATGCTTTAAAAATAATAAAAAAATATATCAAAGATAGTATAAAAAAAGCACTTATTAAAAAAGCTTATTACAAAGTGTCTGATTATATTACAGACAAAAATGCTTGGGTTTGAACTGTTCCAATCATTTCAACAGGTGTTCTATATTAAATAAATCATGATTGTATTGACGTTGTAACAACATAATGATTTGTAAATGTTGTTACATTATGCTTTTAATGTTGTGGAGTTTTTTTCGCTCGTTTTTCTCCGCAGCTAAAAAATATGTCCAATAACGAGTGGTAGGGAAAAAAATGTTTGGACGATTCAAAAGTGTTGTACTATACATCCAATTTGAATAAAGATATATTGATTTCTGATTTCTATCTTATAAAAAAAAATACTCCTCCATATAAAGAGAGGTAGGACGCAGCGGAATTTCTGCTTGAATTGGAACGCCCGTCTGAGGAAGTAACCTCCACCTTACAGAAGGCTGCAATAAAATAACATTACCATTTGGTGGTGTTGTGTGTCTGCCCATTCTAGGGCTCCACAGGGTAGAGGAATAGGTCAGGGTAGGCTTTTTTTCTTCTTGCTGCTAATTCTATACTGGTAATGCTTGATAATTAATTTCTTTCTTTTAAAAAAAAAATGTAAATAGCTATTCTTTTGTTTATTATTAGATGTCGTAGGATGATTTGATAAATCGAATTTTAAGCGAATATCTTAGAGATTTTACGAAAACGCGGATAATTAGATAATGACTATGAAATTGCTCAATCTTACTGTAAACGTAAATTCTTCCTGGCGATTCACCGGACGCTGCCGCTGCACTCTTTATCAAGTCACTCTATGACATAGATAAACCTTCCATTACTGACGGCGGCGCTGGGGGGTAACATATTTTCCATTTTGTAAATAAGGTATTATTCACAAGTAGGTCAAGGTAATTTGTATTTAAATTTTATACATTAGGTAGTTCTTAAGTTGTTGTTATTTTATTTTCTAAATACATATTGTAATATTGTAAATAAATATTAGATAAAACCTTTTAATTATTAATTCGGCTTCCAAAATTATTTATTGATTCGTAACAAATTTTATTATCTTTCTCTCGGTTTCCAACAGAGATTCTCTAAAACCAAACATTTTTTCTATGCATAATAGCTAATGCGTTTGACCACAATCTGGCCTGATGGAAAGCGATGATGAGTTCTAGGATGGTACACGCCTGCCTAGAAGATGCCTCTTCACTCTGGCCTTGAAGATGTCCAGATTATATTTGTCCGGGAAAACAGATTACATTTATTATATTTACATTTATAAATGTATATCTTATAAAAATCATGGTCACCTTACAAATAACTATTCATAGTAATAAATTCCTTTTATCTACATTCGTAGCACAGATATACGGCAGTTGGCACAAACAACTCACGATAACTGGTAAGAGCACTATCTTTACCATTTAATACAATTAATTGTATTAAAATTGCTTTTAGCTGAAATTGGTCCATTTAAAGTTTGAAAACTTTCAAGTATCTTCTATTGTGTAAGTGAGTGTGCTAGTGATTGTGTAAAAGTGAGTAGTGTGTGTAATATTGTTTTTTTATTAATTTTAAATGAACATAATTATACATATATTTATTTTCAATGTATTATTTTTTTATAAGGCATCTGATTTTTTTTCTGTTCTGTGCACAAAATGTTATTTTAAAAACGTTCGACGATTAAGTTTTTGATTAAAAGTTCTTTAAGAAAAGGCTGAATAATACATTTTCAATTTATATTCTCAAATTTGACGACCTCCGTAGCCGAGTGGTTTGTACGCCGGGTTTCATGGTGTCGCCGACTCGAGAGGTCCTGGGTTCGAATGCCGGTGAGGGCAGATGTATTTGTGATGAATACGAGCATTTCTACTCCAGTCATGGATGTTTAATATCTATTTCTATATAAATATACTTATATATGTACAGAATATGTATTCTATCCGTTACCCTAGCATCCCATAACACAAGCCTTATAGTGCTTACTTTGGGGCTAGGCTAATTGGTGTGAGTGTTGGAAATATTTATTATTATTTAATTATAATTGTATTTGTTCTTCATCATCATAATACGACGACATCATGCATCATCATCGTTGGGTTTCAAGGTGTCGCCTCAGAGGTCCCGGGTTCGAATCCCGGTGGGCAGAAAAGTTACTTTTAGGGCGGTACGTGAGAAGGGGCCTATTGGAACTTTAAATGACTTGGACTGTAATTATAGGTCTTAACTGGTATATTGATAACAAACAGATATTAAACAGCGATGTGGTGTTATATTATAAAAAAAAAACGACGGGTTGCACTCCGGGAGTGCCGGCAGAAGTGAAAACTTGAATATTAACGTTGTGCATTTTTGATATGTTTTGGAATGTTTAGGGAATGATTTTGCACAAATTGCTTTAATAATCAGTATAAAAGTACTATCATGTATGTGGTAGAATACAATATTTATTTATTGCGCTATCGTACACAAACATGACAATTTATATTACATTAAAAAGTTTATCTCTCAGAAAAATCAACTTACATGAATCACGTTTAAGCGCACGTTGTGACATCTATTGTAAAGAAATCAACTAACATGAATGACATTTAAGCGCACCTAGCGACATCTATTATAAAAAAATGCATTTTCTTCGCAATACAGTTGCCACGTGAACGTCCTAGATAGAGACTTATTATTATAACTAGCTTTTGCCCGCGACTTCGTCCGCGTTTTCGTCGTTTTTCGTAAAAAAGTAGCATATGTCCTTCCTCAGGGTTCCGTGGTTTTGATGTGACAGACAGATTAACTTTCGTATTTTAGTAGGGAAATATAATATGTCAATCTACAATACTGTTAAAAATAACGCAATAAGAAACCGCAGAATATTATTATTATCACTGTGCCCCGCGACCATCAGCGTGTAACTCCTTGTATGTTATTATGTTAATGTATTGGTAATATTGTTTAGATCGCTTTCACATGAGTCTTAAGTACATATAGAATGAAAATACTTCAGCACAAAGCTTCCGGGTAAACTACGTTAAAATTTGACCCGTCCGGCACGTGAATATAAAAAAATTCTAGGACTGCTAACCCGGGAAAGACCGACATAACTGATCATGTGAAAAACAAATGACACCGAGATCTACTCCAACAACACGAAAAGTCTGCCCTTGAGCCTTATTTATTGTCATTGCATAACACACCGATACTGGGAATTGCGTTCTTTTAAATTGGAATGGAAAATTATTTGGTATTATGGGAATTCTGGGAATAAAGATGGTTTCTCCTGCACCGCAACCTGTTAAAATTTGAGCCTCGATTACATTTTGTTGCAACTGGGTTACTTTAAGCCGAGTTCCATTGCAAATTTGTGGTGGTCTTAAATTTCGGAGCAGAATAATCGGAATGCCAATTTTTAAACAAATTTCATGAGAAGGAAGTCCGGGCATATTTAAAGAATTTAAAAATTCTATCGGGTAATTAGTGGCTTCTTGTTCATCGGCCATTCTATTTATTGAACTATAAACTTTGCTTTCCCCCTGTATATTCGACAGTATTTTATTATTAATCTCAGATGCCTGGTCATTGCGAGGAGTTAAAATGGACCTTTCGCATAGCCAAGAATTGTTCTTATTTAATATATTTGTTACGTCACCGTAAACTGACGATGTAAGATGTTGTTGGGATTGCACTATACAACATAACTCAGGCGTCAGAATAAGTTTTCCTTGGTGTAGCAGTGGATAGGTATCTTTGGTGAAGGTATTTTCTTTAATATTATATCAGAAAATTCACGATCATCCGGGTTATCTACAGTTCTCACTCGCATGTTTATAGTCAAATGCACCGATTGTATATCACGCCACAAATAAGAGCTTTTCAGGCAAGCCCTAACCTCATCAGCTCGGGTTCCCCGTGGTATTACCGGTAATGTTTGTCGGAAATCACCACAAAATAAAACTGTGATACCGCCCATTGGTCGATCATTTTGTCTTATATCTCTTAAAGTTCTGTCTACCGCTTCTACTCCTTTTCGATGGGCCATCGTACATTCATCCGATATGATTAAGTTACACTTTGAACGAATATTTAAACACTACCAAAACAACTAATACGTGGTCCTAACTTTAGCTACCTTACACATAAGAATTATAACCAGAAATATATACAACTCACAACAAAAAAGAAATGAAAATAAAGCTGAAACGCCTGTGCAATACTATCTACCTATACCTACTTCACTTAAAAATAAATACTTATAACTACTTTAATTAATAAAAGTACCTACGCTTAATAATTTTTAATTTGAACGAATATTTAAACACTACCAAAACAACTAATACCTATTTTACAAAATAACAACAAAAGAAATTCAAATAAACTATTTAAAGACTAAAAGTCGCGTAGGGGCTGCCTCTGGCCGGGAAGGCCTCTAAGGCTTCATCGGAAGCGATCGTCCCCCAGGGGGGGGGGGGGGAGCGACGCAGAAAACAGATTTAGACAGCTCGCTCTCGGACCTCCCGCCTTTTGATACCCTACCGCTGCCGCCGCGACCCGTGTCGAGCGCGGCAACCGTTACACAAAAATAATCCGTAACGCATGATTCAGTATTCACGTGCGACGGCGCGATGGCTTATTTCATGTATAAGTTTGGTGTTTCTATACCGATTTCTATGTTTTGTTTTTATTAAATAGGTAATAATGTTAACTTTTTTAAATTAGGGATGAGTCAGAGTATTATAAACGTAAGAGTAAACAAATATGATCAGAATGCTCCGAACTGCTAAGCTATCGGGAGTTACACGTGTTATTGTGAGTCAACCATAAAAGATAGACATATGCTGTTGCGGGATATTTTTTAGACAATTTTATGTAGAATATTTCCGTCATACATGATTTCTATGTAACTTTAATCATTAAGGCTGCACACGCGACGGAAGCTTAAAAAATGGAGTAACTTCTCCCGTTTTCCCAACATTTCCCTTCACTACTCTGCTCCTACTGATTGTAGCGTGATGAAAAGTATACTATAACCTGCCCAGGAGTATGAAGAATAATTGTACTAAGTTTCGTTAAAATCCGTCGAGTAGTTTTTGTTTCTATAAGGAACATACACACAGACAGACAGACAGACAAAAAATTTACTGATTGCATTTTTGGCATCAGTATCGATCACTAATCACCCCCTGATAGTTATTTTAAAAATATATTTCATGTACAGAATTGACATCTCTACAGATTTATTATAAGTATAGATACGGTAAAATAAAATATTACTATGTTTCGTCCAATATATTGAAAGTCAACAACCTTTCCAATTTTATTGTGTGTCAGGATGCGATCAGCCCACGTGTTTAACCTGACGCGAGTTTAACATTTTTTACCCATACAAAAAAAAGTGTACAACGCCGCTAAAGAAGTTTTCACTTCAAAAGTAAGATTTTTCTGTCACAACCGTCAGATGTTTCGTAGCGTTAGTAGTATTGCGTGTTTTATTGTCCTCTTCGTTCCACCCTGTAAGGTCATAGGGCTCCACGCAAGGGCGGATCCAGCTTTAGCGCCAGGGGGGGGGGGGGGTCATATACCCAGCTTTGGCCCAGGGGGGGGTCATATAGTCGTGGTATATTAAATATTGAAAGTACTTAAATAAAATCCCCCTGGGTTTGGTCCATCTGTACCCAGCCCAGGGGGGGGTCATGACCCCCATGACCCCCCCCCTGGATCCGCCCTTGGCTCTACGGTGTAGTAGTGCAGTCATTGAAGCGAAAAATACGGTCTTACCTCCGATTTTTTTTACTGTGAACCGATTTGCATGAAATTTAGGAATTAGGCTCATCTTACCCTTAACTTCAAAAGTGAAAATGATCTGAACTCCGCCTATTATTTTTAAGGGGTGTAAACAACCCCTTAATGGAAAAATTGACCAATGTCAATATCGCTAGAAATTGAATAGTAATTGAATATATAATAATTTAATAGAAATTGATCACATTTTATGAAATTGTAAAGTATTTTCTAACATAATTACCGCATATTAAAATCATTTTCAACCCATATATATATATATATATTACATATTTAATTTAGAGTAGAAAATTGGCATTTATTGAATAAAATATTTACTAATTATATAAAATTTTACTATTATTATTAAAATATAATGCTGCTTGGAAGATCCCACCTTCTCCATATTGGGGGTACACGTCGACTCAGGTCCCCAGGCCAGAGTCTACGTGTGCCTCTACAGATCCCATACTGGTGATGTTGAGACAACTCGACTTTTCGAACATCTTAGTCGGGCAGCAGATGACGCGCAGGAGCAATTTCCCAATGCAGAATTGGTGTTTTTGGGGGACTTTAATGCTCACCACAATTTGTGGTTAAGTTCCTCGAAAACTGACCATGCAGGGA